GATGATGCTTCCTCAACCCCCGCCACCGGCACTTCAGCACCGCCGATGATGCTTCTGCATCCCCCGCCGTCGTTGACCCGCATCCCTCGCCGTCGCTGACCCGCATCCTCGCCACAGATCTGGAAAAATCCACCACAGATCTGGAAAAAATTTAAAAAAATTTGCCACTGCAAATCTAGATCCGGTGAAGATGCAACCAGATCTAGAAAACAATGTCTTCTTCTAGCTGACGAAATAAGGAAGAAAAATCATTAAAGTAATGAAGAAGAAAGAGAAGAGGAAGAAGAGGGAAGAAGGAAGAAGAAAAAGAAAAAGATGAAGAAGGAGAAAAAATAAAGAAGGAGATGAGGAAGAAGAAAGAAGAAGAAGAAGGAATAAGAAAGAAAAAAGGAGAAAAAGAAGAAAAAGAAAGAAAGAAAAAACGGAAGAAGAAAAAAAATGATAGAAGAAAGAAGAAAAAGAAAGAAAGAAGAAAGGGAGAGGAAGAAGAGAATTAAGGGTAGAAATGACATTTCATTCTCAAAAACTTTCCTAAAATAGAAATGAGAAGTTTTTTTGTGGACGGATAAAAAAGGAAAGTGGGAAGTTCTTTTTTGGACGGAGTGAGTATTTTAACTTATTATACCCCTCTCATAATTATCCTACGGAGTACTTCTTTTTTTTCTATTTGAAGTGTTCTACTCCCTTCGTCCCTAAATAGATTACAATTTTTTTTCTCTCTCTTCTCGATAACTTTTGTTTGTTTACGCGATTTCATTAAGTATTTGATAAAATAAAATATTCTTGTCACCTCTTGTTTTGTAAAACTTTTGACGTAGTTTTTTAATATGTAATTTTTATATCTTTTTGATATACCAATTTATAAATAAAATAATTTCAAAAATTAGAAAATTTTACTCCGTAACCCGCAATTTGTAATCAAATTGGGGACGGAGGAAGTATAATTTTCTTCATCTTTTGTTAAGGAAGCAAATGTGTGGTGTATATGGATTCTCATTGATTTACATAAACCATAAGAGTTCATACTTGTTTTAGTCACTCTAACTCTAAGGGTACTCACAAGTAAATTTGGTTTCTGTAAGTTTTATTTAACTAAATTAGTCTTTGTAATTAAAAAATGTGAATCAAATTAGTTCTTAATGCAAGATTTATATTCTAAAATTATAGTTTAACACGTCAATTGATACAACAACTAATACACGGGGCATTGATCTTGCGCCAATTAATGTAATAACTCAGAATTTTAAGATATAAGTTGTGTTCGAATGATTAATTAACTTGATTCACATTTTCTATAAAAATGGACTAATTTGACTCAAATTAACTTACAGGGACCAAATTGAGTCATCAGGAAACTTCGAGGGACTAAAATGACTATTAACCCTAAACCATAATCACCAACTAACATTCCACTTTGTTATAAAATTAAATATTGTGTCAAGTCAAACTTGAAAGATACTTTTAAGAGAGAAGGAGTAATTATTATTTGTAATAAATTAAAAATGAATTGAGTACAGATACTCTCTTGTCTCACCGGAAATGGATTGCCCACTTTTTGTCTGTCCAGAAATATTACTCATTGCATTTTCCCTCATATTTTTGTTTGTTAAAAATCATTAATACACTTTGCCAAACCGTGAGTTAAGTCATGTTCTCCTTAACTTATTCTTATTATTTATTACTCCCTTCGTCCGGAAATAATCTTCCCACTCTACGTTTTTTTCGTCCATAAATAATCTTCCCACTCTACGTTTTTATCAACACTCTTCCAATAATACCCTTCTTCTCCCTCACCATTTCTTCTTCCCCATTTCTCATTCCCCACGGCCAAATCTGGCCTTATCTTCATCACTCTCTCTCCCTTCCCCCTTGATTTTCTTTTTTCTTCGCCATTTTCTTTCACTTCCTGCTCCCCCTTCGTCTTATTCTCTTTCTCCTTCTCCTTCTCCTCCTCCTCCTCCTTCTCCTTCTTCTCCTTCTCCTTCTCCTTCTCCTTCTCCTTCTCATTCTCCTTCTAGATCTGTGTTAGATCTGTGGACTTCTTCTTTTTCTTCTTCTTCTTCTAGATCTGTGTTAGATCTATGGACGGTGGGGGCAGGACAACGGTAGGTGGTGGAGTAGTGGTAAGGCTGAGGCAGTGAATGGGCGGCGATGGCGCCGGTGCGAGGTGGGGCGGCAGTGGGTCAGGGATAGCGGTGGGG